TTTGGTGCGCCCGAGGGGCGGGGCGTGGGAAGAGACACACCCGGGCTCCGCCGCAGGCCGAGACGCCACGCTTGACGTCACTTCCTGGATGCCCGGCCCGGCCAATCAGGAGCGTCCGTGCGGGTTGAGCGGGGTAAACTTTGCCGCCGAGCGTGAGCGAGGCCCCGTCCGGGACTTCCTGCGGATGAGGCCTGGGCTGACGTAGGCGCCTGGGCTGACGTACGCGCCTACTCTCCGGTCTTTTCCGTTCCGCCCTTTTTCTTCCGTCCTCAACGCCTGAGGTGTTTCATGAGGGTGTGTTACGGCTTAGCAAGAGTTTCTCTTTAGATTTCCTTTAAAGACCTAAAATATAATGATACGTAATCAACACGTAGTTTTAGGGAATATACATACTTTGTATCACAGAAAAGAGATACATTAAGTATCTTAAAGAGAACAGACAATACGGAATACAACAGTAAAAGCCATTGGAAAGCCTACCCGTTTTTTTTTAACGCCTAATACTAACTTTGATGATAAGGAATCACCACTAGCTTACACTCTAATAGAGGAAACAGAAAAACAAAATAATTACTAATACTGGTCAAGGCTACAAAGGAAAGGAGGCTGAGGTGGGCCTGATTCACGCGCAGCGAGGGTCTTACCGCGGAGAACCTCAACCGAAGAATGAGGAGCAAGCCAAGAAGAATCGGGGGAGGGCCCTGTGAGGGAACGTTCTAGTAAGGGGGCGTGGCTTATTGGAAGCCTCGATGACCGTTAGGGGAGTTTAACGACCCAAGGGGTTGCCGTTAGAGCGCCAGGCGACGACCGTTATTCTCCTTGCTTCTAGATTTTTCTCTAGTCTGTGGAATAGGTCTGCCGTATTCAAATGAAGTGTTTGAGTAAGAAAATTACAAAACTATTTCAAAGTATACTGCGTTATAAATTGTGTTTGTAGACTTCATCAAATAATATTTTACGTAATACATTTTGAAAATAAGGATTTGGATGGCTATTGAAAAAAAATTTTTTTAAGAGAGAAACAAGATGGTTTTAAGAACCACCTGAATTTGGATTTCCCTCAGATAACCATTTTTAGGTATATCCTTGCAGAATTTATTACATACGTTTTTATTAAAGTAGATAGGAAAGAATATTTATAAAATACCAAGCTAGTCACCAGAGTGTAAGAAACAGAATATTACCCTGAATACTTAGAAGGGGGACTTCTCCATTACACATCGTAGCTTGGGCTGGGGAGCATGAAAATATTTTAATTTCTTATAAAATCAGAAAAATAGTGAAGTTTTAGGTTGAAGAAAATCTTTTAGTATTTAACATTAATATATTTGTCTTTATACTAACACAGTCATAAAATATAATTTTTGATATTTTTAAGGAGGAAAGGGCCTATGAAGGCAAAACGTTTAGGGCCCGCTGAAGCCATAATTTCATCCTGCCTCTGAGTCCTCTGTTGGCCTTTCCTTATAATTTTACCACATTTGTTTTTAATCTGTATATAATATGTTAAGTTGTGCATGCTTTTATAGTTTATGAGATTATACCGAATACAGTCTTCCATAAATTGCTTTTTACGCTCAACAGTATGTCCTGAGTTTGATCCCAGGTCTGCTCAGGAGTTGTATAGCCCAAAGCTCACATAATTTGAGCGGTGTTCTTGAAAATGCTGCAATAAAATTTATGATTACAAAATTAGGAATAAAATTAATATTTATTTTGAATAAATAACACAAATTACAAATTTTTAAAATGGACAAAACATGAAATATGAAAAATGCAGAAAAAAATATTATTTAAGCTGCAAACACAACTCTATGAAAGTTATGTATTATGGCTTCATATACTTTAATTACCTCAACGGTGAGGTTGAAGATCATTTTCTATACAGAGAACACAAAGATAATTCAGTCTTTTCTCTAGCTAGGCTGATGAAATTTATTGAGTTAATAAAAGGTTCTTTGAAATTAATGATGTCGTTTGATAATGTCGTATAAACTTTTAGGACTGTCAAAGAAAATTTCTGTCAAGCTTTTTTTCACATATGAGCTGTAAGATTTCAGAGCACATAAAGTTTCTGGAATAGTGATTGAACCTAAATACCTAGAACTGATGACCCCTTATTACCAGGTTGTCATAAATGTTCTCATTTTTAGATACATATTGTGAGTTTTATATGTCAGTACTTTACGTTAAAATTTCTGTCCTTTTTCCAGTTTGATCATATAACTCATTCCTCATTATTATTTGGATTATCAACAATCCAAGAGCCTATTATTATTTCTTTTTGAAATGGATCTCTTCACGAATTACTGAATTTTTTGTTATAATAATTTCTATTGATTTCATCATCGTTCATCTTCACTCTTGCCTCATATTCCATTAATTTTTGTCAACTTTATAAAATTTATATACAATAAAATACGCAGATTTTAAAAGTGTGGTTTCAGGAGTTTTAACAACTCCTTAATTTTGTATAAACGTCTCCAATCAAGATATAAAACATTTTCTCCTTCCCAGAAAGTGTCCTTAGGCTACTTTGCAGTAAATCCCCTTCTCCACACTCACCCAATGGAACCACTGATCTGACTTCTATCACCATAGATTCATTTAGATTATTCTGGAACTCTTTATCAGTGGAATTATACATTATGTACTCTTTTGTCTGTCTTTTGTTCAACGTGAAGTGTGTGAGGTTCATAGATGTTGTTGCATATATCGGCAATTCACTTTTATTGTGGAGTAGAATATCCTTAAATGAATATACCACAATTTTTTTTCAGTCATCTAATGATGGATATTGGGTGGTTTCCAGTTTTCTGCTGTTACGAAAGTTACTGTACAAATCTTTTAATGGACGTATGTTTTCATTTAACTTGAATAAATATCCAGGAGTGGAATTGCTGGATTACAGGATAGGTGTGTCTTTAATGCTATGAGAGCTTACAATCGATTTTCCAAAGTGATTTTACCATCTTAAATTCCTATAAGCAAAGTATAAGACTTCCATTTGCTCCACAGCCCTGTCAACACTTCTTATTGTGAATGTTTTAAATTTCAGTCATCCCAGTGGGTTAAAAGTACCTCATTTGTATTTCCCTGATAACTAATGATGTAGAACATCTTGTCACGTGCTTTTTGGGAATTAGTATATCTTCTTTGTGGATTGTCTGCATGAGTCCTTTGACCATTTTTTTAAAAAGGACTTAATTTTTTTAGAGAATGTTTAGGTTCACAGCAAAATTGAGAGGAAGGTACAGAGATTTCTGGATCTACTCCCTGCCCCCACAAATACATAGTCTTCTCCATTATCAACATCCCCCACCAGAGAACTACATTTGTATCAATTGATGAGCCTACATTGATACATTATCACCCAGAGTCCATAGTTTACATTAGGGTTCACTCTTGGTGGTGGTGTACATTCTGTTGGTTTGGACAAATTTATAATGACATGTATCCATCATTATAATATCATACAGAGTACTTTCACTGCCCTACAAAGCCGCTGTGCTCTGTCTGCCTATTCATCCCTCCCCAGTTTCACTCCTGGAACCACTGGTCTTTTTACTGTCTCCATAGTTTTGCCTTTTCCAGAATGTCATATAATTGGACTCACACAGTATGCAGCCTTTCAGATTGGCTTCTTTCACTTCATCATATGCTTTTAAGTTTCCTTCATGTCTTTTCATTGCTTGATAGCTCATTTCTTTTTAGCATTGAATAATAAACTCCATTGTCTGGATGTACCACAGTTTGTTTATCCATTCACCTATTGAAGGACATCTTGGTTGTTTCCAAGTTTAAGCAATTATAAATAAAGGTGCTATAAACATCCATGTGCAGGTTTTTGTGTGAACATAAGTTTTCAGTTCATTTGGATAAACACCAAGGAGCATGATTGCTCAGTCATATAGTAAGAGTATGTTTA